ACAGTAGAGCTTTTACTGGGATAACTAAGCTAATTAAAAAAAAATCATCCCTTATTAACATAGTTCTGCCAGAAAAACTTGTTAAGTGTAGACTAGATCTTAAGTTGGTGGTATAATGTTTGTGGCAGATTGGTGGGTGGATTATCATTGAAAACACTTCAGAGGAGTAGTGTATTACACGGGAGGGATTTGAAAGAAGACATGGAGGTTATTTTACTACACAGGATGGGAGTTAAAGGAGCTACATGGATCATGGTGCTAAAAAAAGAGCAGAAGGAATAAATAAGCAGTGTTTAGTAGCAGCAGAAGTCAGCTGATCTACCAATTATCTCTTTCATTTTCTTAAGCGTCTTTGGGCCCAATGTCATCTTAATGAAGCTTATTTTAATATCTGTCTTAGTCATTTTGGATTATAATGGCAATTTTAAACTACACTTTACATACTATTCCTACTAAAATTAATAGATCATTTACATTAGGATCATGCATGTGCTGACTGAGCAATGGTACCCTGTCTTCTGGAACGGTTGTTTGTGGAGCTGCAAAATCCTGTTAAAATTGATTTTTACTTTGCATGTGAGCATGCCTTTCTAATAGCCAATACATACAAAATCCATTTTGTGAAATAGTAACCAGGCATACACATCACACAGTTTTGATGGTGATAACCTGTGAGCCCGAAAGAACCAATTTGACTTTTGGTTCCCAGGAGGAGTTGACAGAGCTGTTTAGTAAACTGAGCAAATTTAGTTTTGAAGTAAATGAGAAACAATAAATATAAAATACCACAATGCCAATTTTTACCGTCATTTTTGACAGTGGAACCACACTTTAAAAACAAACAGAAAAAAATGCTTCCAAGCTGTGAACATATTTTTGTCATGTTTCCACAGAAAAACTTCACTGCCAGTATATCAAACCCTGGGAAAAATAAGGATAGGACCTTAACTATTTTGGCTATGTTGTGTACTGCTACCATTAGAAGAACAGCAAAACTGATATACTTTGTTTTATCAGTCAGATATACATATCCTATAGAAACATGTTGCATTGGTTACATCAGTGACTTACATCAGTGACAGTTAAAAAATCAGAATGGCCTTGTGTAGTTAAGAAAATGTTGCTGAAGAGATGGAAAGGCTTATGATCAATACTGTATTTATATATAGTGTAAAGGAGTATGTCATTTTGTTTCTTTTTACATAATTATAGTCAAATAAAATAATAAATTTAAGTTAAGGGTGTGGCATTATGAAACAAAAGAAACAAAAAGAACCCAGTAACTTCAAATACACAACACATGCAGAAAAACCTATATTTGCAATTTTAAAGGTATTCTAGGGTTCTCAGTTAGTGAGTTATGAGTACAGCTGAGAGAGTCTGGAACTGCTCAGGCTCACCTCTGGTTGGAGGAGCTGGCAGGAAACCATGCTAGGCTCAATGAGACCATGGAGCTCCCAAGTTAGTTAGTAGACCTTCTCATTTAAAAATAAAAATTAAAAAATTACAAGGTTTCAGAGCACCTGTTTCTTCCTGCTTCATTGGGAAGGAGAATATTTCCCACTTATGTCTTAAAACTTGAATAGTGTGTGCTTCATTTGTAATCTTGCTGTCATATTTGTGTGCAATTGCAGTTAACTACGTACCAAACATAACACTTGCTAATTTTGTAGATGGAATTAAGATGCCCACTGTGTCATAATAAGTGTGCATGTTTTTCAGTTTTAAAAAAGTCAGTACTCCCAATGGTTTACATTTCTAATTTCAAAATACAGATTTATTGTGTAGTGACTGTTACTCTTCCATAATAGCAGATAAAGAAGAGCAGGTATCTCAGAACTTACTTCACAGGAGCGTTTAAGTGGTTCAATGCTATAAAAGATCTTGCTTCCTTAACCTTTCAGAAACTCAGTTGAGCAGTCATTGTATTATTCTGTATCTTGTCTAACATGAGGAAACCGTTCCAAAAGAAAGGTATCCCAAATTAACTCCACACTTCATTAAATAAAGACATTCTTGGTTTTCACCAAGCTAATTCGATCCAGTTCACTTAACTCATTTTTTTTGTTCTCAGAACAGATCACAAAAGACAGCCATGAATGAGTAGTTCATCATGTGTTTGACACATCAGTGTGAGACTAAAAGGCAGACCTTGTGAGAGGGTTCCTGCCTTTAGATGTGTGGACAATACCTGATGAAAGAGGCCCCTCATTCAAAACTGTTCTCTAGTGAACAGGACAGAACGCCTCAGATCACTGTACAAACTGGTATAATAGAAATCAACCAGAACTTGATTCCTCAGACACTTTTCCCTCACAATTGTGACTGTTCATGTAATCCAGCCTTTATGTAATATTCTAAATATTGCAATTGGTTCACTGTGCTTCAGTAGAAACCAAAGACCAAACTTTCCTAGAGCTCATTTGGCCTTTAATTGCTGTATAATTGCAAAATACTTGCTATATAAATAGGCTTGGGAAAATTCAATGTTTAATTTTTTTATAATTTGGAAGTATATTACTTTTTAAACTTTTTTTTTCATTTTTTTATCAATTTAAATTTTCACCATTGCAGGAAAGTATGCGGGGAGGGGCAATAGACAACAATTATTTAATGACAGTAGATGTTGAGATTCAAAAAGTTAAAGCTTTATAACCGTTAAAACACAAGTCATCAACATCAAATGTTAAAATATACAAAGTAGATCTTAAATCAAACTCTAATATGTTTTCAAGCAGCATTTTTTCTTACTTTGTCTGTCTGTGAATTTCTGTTATTATTTCTGTCATTACTTCTTCCACTGTGTGTGTGTAGTGAAATTGACATTTACCAACAAAAATTTAATCCTTCCAAGCCTCTATATAAAATATGCCCATTCCACCCTTCCATATCAACTACATATATGATCAAAGGTTTATAGGCTTAGCAAAGGAAGGAATGGACAGCAACAAAATAGTCATTACTTATTTTAGGTTAATTTTTTTATATTAAAACTACAAATGCTGTACAGTGTTTTCATAGCTTTAAAATTGTTCTTTCAGATGCTTGTAATAACCTTTCAGTAGCCTGAAATTGAAATGTTTCATTACCAAATTTAATTTTCCTTTTTCATGCACCAGCTTGTTTAATGTATTCATGAGTACTAGGCTACTGAGATTTTTTTTTCTTCTTCCTTTTAAAACTTAAAGGTGAATTCATTACTCATGAGCCAAGAAGGCTTTGGATTGATCAGAATGGTTTGATACAGGTTACATGCAAGCAAGCATTGAGAAGGGCCCTTTGGCAAAAGCTCTGCCAGCAAGCTTCAGCCTCAGCACTTTCAGTACATGTGTGCTCCTGGGCTATATATAACCTTTACAGTCTTACCAAATAGTAGATTTTGTGATATATAATACAGGGACTAAAAATAATGCTGTCGAATAATTTATTATTATAATCCAGAATCTGAACCCATTTTCCAGAGAGTAAATGTTATTTCAGTAATCATTTGTAACAACTATAAAAGGATACAAAAGCATTGGTTTTGAAAATGAAAATATATTCAGAAAATTACCATATATACATACATGCCTGCCACTTTGACAATGGCAACGTTAGTATTATCCATATCAGCAGTCTGTTGTCCCAGTTAATTTGGGAAAATTTTAAAATAGCTGTGTTTTTATATGTGAATAATTTAATAGGTTTGAGTGGTTATTTATTGATCTTATTATGCTTCTTTTAAAGCATGTTGCTATTTATATTTGTACCTTGTCCTTTAGTCTGACCATATAAAAACAGATAAATTAAGTATATATTGTCCAGTGTTAAATACTTATTTAATTTTTATTAAATGTATTTAATACACTGTAACCAAAGCATTCTAAATGTGTGTGCGCACTACTGGATCACCAAAAATACTTGTTTATGACTGCTGCAGGGAGTAGGGGAGTCCGAGGTACGTGCTAAATGAAAGCAATGGGCTACAAGAAGTTCTGTGGGAAGTTTACTAATGGGGATTTTGGAAAATTGAGCAAGAGGGGTGAGGAGCTAAATGTGTTAAAAGAATTGGATCAGAATAAAACTAGCAGCAGTAGTGTTGAGCAAGGAAGAAAAGCTAGACAAGTAGTATAAAACTGGAAGGAGAAAAAAATTGTTTCATATTAGATCTGGTAGGGGTAAGCATTGTTAATGTGAGATGGTTTTTCAACCTATAAAATGAGCTAGTGATTTGAACTGGGTTTCTGAAAAGCAGATCTCCAGTAAAAAGACACCAGAAAAATTGGCATTAATTGGTACCTTTGTAATGACAATTTCAGTCTAGATGTGTATGACGAAGTGGACATGGAAATTGTATTAGCATCTCATCTCTGGAGATGATCTTTCTCAGGTCAAGTTGAAGCATAATGGCACTGTGATATGTGCAAACTGTGACTTTCATTATCTGAAGTTTACCTGGTCTCATCTGTAGAGAACCTGAATTTCCAGGGCTGTGGGTTGAACAGTTGATTCACTTACCAAAAAAACAAAATAAAACAAAAATCTTTAAAAGGCTTTTTTTCTATTTTTCAATGAAAAATTATAGCAATTTCATGTATGTTTAGAGTAGAAAACATGATTTCAAAAAATGAAAATGTGAGTTTTAACTTGATCTAAAATCATAAAGTTCTGAAAAATGCATTTTGCATACTACTGCAGAGCAAATTGTTGAATTATCATTTGCAACCATCTCCCCAAAGCCTTAATTTCTGTGTTTAATGGTCATTATAATTATAATATCATGATTTTAACTCTAATATATTTACAGGTTTTAGAAATGTTGCTTACATATTGTTTTATGAAAATTATCTTTGATTTTGTGTCTTTCTTAAATGTGTTTGAAGTCAAGAAATTATGTGACTGTTTCTACATTTCATATAAGCTATTTTAGTAATGTTGACATTCGGTACAAAGTTATTTTCAAAATGGTGTTTTTGTTGGAGTACATTCCTGTAATATTTTGTTTTTTGTTATTCCCGTAGTTTTACTATGAATCCTGCAAGCATTGAAGACCTCAGGAAAACAATGGTGAGTGACAACGTAATGGAGAACTATCAGTTCTCCACCTACTTGGTGCCTGAAATAATAAAAACCATGTTTGGTTATTTATTCTAACTTCTAATATGAACATTTTAAAAACTTTCCTGCTTGTTTTATCCAGCAATTCTTAACAAAAGTCTCTCTTTCCTGGTCGGAGACTGGGTTAATTCAAAGGAACTGAAAAGAGACTTTGCAGAGTATTTGGAATAACCGCTGAAGTTATAGTGTAGAATAGATCTTCCCAAGGGAAGTAGTGAGACACTTTTTGCTTCAGCCATTTTGAAATAAGTTTGGACAAAGCACTAGAATGTGTTGCCTGGCAAACAATCCTGCATTGGCAGGGGATGAACTAGATCAGCGGTTCTCAAACTGTGGGTTGGAACCCCAAAGTGGGTCGCAACCCCGTTTTAATGGGGTCTCCAGTGCTGGCTTAGACTTGCTGAGGCCTGGGGCAGAAGCCGAAGCCTGACCCGCCTGGGGTCAAAGCCAAAGCCCGAGAGCTTCAGCCCTGAAAGGCAGGGCTAACGTTACAGGACCCCTCCCCGGGGCTGAAGCCCTTGGGCTTTAGCTTTGCTTACCCCCCAACCCCCGCCGCCGCTTGGGTGGGCTCAGGTTTCAGTCCCCCCGTAATTTTTGTTGTGAGAAGGGCATCATGATGCAATGAAGTTTGAGAACCCCTGGTCTAGATGATTTTAACAGGTGTTTCCCATCTGTGAAGTCTATGATTCTTTATGAAGGACAGTTTTTAGTAGGCTAATCAAAATGCAAGTCATCTGCAGGTTTAGGAAAATGAGTAAATTATGTTATGGTTAGAAGTACAAATAACAAATGAACAACCTAATGAAGAACAGCAATAAGGCCTTGTAATAAAGAAACTTGAAGTTATTCTTTGGAATAGTTGTTTGGCCCTAGAAATAGCAAAAATATAGTGTGTACTAAGAAATAAAGAAAAAAATTCTACACATTTACTATGTAATTTCTTTGTACAAAAGAAAATATAATCTTGCTACAATTTCTTTTATGAGCAGATCAGATCTTTAAAAGTGGGTTTGTTTTCCCTCTTAAAAAAATAAGTTGCATAGACAAATAGATAGGACTTTATACTGTTTGTATTTCACTATATTATGTAAATGACTTGCAATAACTTTTGATGTTTCATAATAAATGCCCAAGTTTTCATAATGTGAGAAACTGGTGGGAGATGTCGTAATGTATGAAGACTGCCTTTGATCAGATAGTAAGCTGAATTCTACCAAGCAGTTACTTAATCTCTGACAAAAAGCAACATCAAAAAATTGATTTAACTTAGCAGCTATTGTCTGTAAAGTAACCTTAATTACAGTTTCCATGTGCTTGTAAATGTACTACCTCAAATCATGTAATTTATTGTTGGTAAAAGCATCGTTAGAATTCTTTTAAGAAATATGATGTGAATTATTTTATTTAAAGGTGATAAAAGAAATCCTTGATGTTGTGATGTTTCTTTGGAATACCAGCTATGCTAAATGTCAGTTGCAGGATTCTGAGGTGGTGTTCATTTAATGTAAGATATAATTAAGAGGAGAAGACACTATCTTTATATCCCTTAGTTTTTGAAGGAAACTATTTGAAAAATTTGAATGTTCATGATTATTGTTAAGATATTTGAAGTCATTTATATTAGATTCTGCAATAATAGCCCTCCACCAAGTAACTTTTTTCTTCTTCCCTTGGATGTAGCGTTTAGCAATTAAGTTTGTATATCTTCTACTCTGGTGCCAACACCTGTCTCTGAAAGCAATGTTTAAACAGGAGCAGTAGCCAATTGAAAGGGCAGCATGAGCTCTTTAAGGCCTAATTAAGAACTGAAAGGGAGATGAAGCATGTAGGACAAAAGATGTGAAAGCAGCTGAGATGATATTCCCAGAGCAAAATTCCTCATTAGAACAAAAGGATCAGAGAATGTCAAGCCTTTATCTTATCTCTGTAGCTCTCCTACAGTTGCTGTGGATGTCAGTTTGTACCCCAATAAAGTTGGTTACTAGGACAACCCTTCTTTAAATATTTTGCTATTTAAAATCTTTTGCTAAAATTTAAATTTTATAAGATAATTGTGTCCTAGTAAAACTTTGGTAGCAATTTTTTTTGAAAAGTAAAAATTAGATTATTCCTTAATCTTTTAACGTGCTGTGTTGCCTAAATGTTCAAATGGAAAATTACAACCAAAATGTGAGTTATCCCCATAGTGTTGGCATTGTCCTTTCCTTAAGTATTAAAGACATACTGATATATAGTTGAATCTTTATTTTTCTTTAGCTGGAATTTTCTTGTATATCTGCTTGATGTTTTGGTGAAAAAAGAATGTAAGAAAACCTCTTAAAACATACATATTATGTATGGGAAACAATATTTAATAGTTAAAAACATCATTGCATACTGGATCTAAATGTTTTCCAATTTATAAAATTGAGCAAGCCCTTTATTTTTAGACATGGAAGTGTTAATATTTTTTTCTGATATATATGAAGTATTAGTACTGTAAACAGAAAAATTTCCTTCCTCAGGGTGGAAGAAAATGTGCAGAATACGTGAATGACTAAGAATTGGAAATGCTTTCTATTCTGTACATATTATTGGAAGTTTCACCAACTTAGGTATTTTTATGAAGGGAAAGAAATTATCTGCTATGATGATTTTTTAGTAAATTGACAATAGCAAATTAACTGTTAGTAAATGCTGATGTTTAGCTGAAATTAAATCTCACAGAATCAGTCAGAAATCCTAAAATGTTAAATAGTGCCAAGAGTTACTAATAGAAAACAATTGATGGAGAGAGGTTGGTTAACTTGTAGCATTCCAACTGATTTGCAATACACCATCACTTTTAATTAGCCCTACTTGAAAACTTTGGCCACCTGCATATTTTAATGATGAGATGGGTGCCAAAGTGTAAATATTGAGCTGTGCTGAAATGAAAAGGAGTGAAGCAGGCTACTTCTGTATGTATCTACTGCTCAGAGTGGTTGCTGATTGTGCCTGATTTATCATTTTTAATGAGAAGATTCAAATGTAAACAAAAAATATCTCCTAAGCAAGAATTACTTCACCTTATATTCAAGTCAGTGGTTCAGGATTGAGAGGTTAGATGATTTTACTTAGTCAAATGTTTTATATCTTTAAATGTCCCAGTCTCTGAACTAGATAAAGCTAATTATTATACACGTCTAACAGTGCTATTATTTTCATAAACCCACTCTTGCTAATTATCGTTTTCTTAATTATATGTTATCTCTCCCCAGTAGAAAATAAGGCACTCAGGGTTATAGTTTCCTGGATTGTACATTGCTTTTATTACGGGAATTAAACGTACCCATCTCTGTTAATACTTCTACACGTAGTGAATCATCAGAAAGCACTGCTGGAAATGTTGCTGTTTCTCTTGCTACTTAATTTAGAATTCAGTGCAGCACATGCTTTTTTCAGCTTCTGTTAGTTCTCCTTTCTAGGTAAGTGCTCTTGTGCAATTAGTGCTCTCGTGCAGCTTTTTAACTTCATCCAAAATATAAAATAAGGAGTTCTAATATACAATAAGCAGAGAGTGAGGCCAGGACTTGGAGAGCCACTGAAGGCCAAGAATGGAAAATTAGAGACAGATGGGTCCTGATGTCATTAAAAAGCTAGATAGCGTCTTTGTTGTAGTCATCTCAAAAGATGAACAATAAAAGAAAGAGGACTCAAAATAGTGGTGGTAAGGTTTGAATAGTCCAGGGCTGTCTTGCTTCTTCCCCTCCTTGGTGGGTCAGTCATTTTAGGGGCATTATATTACCATGGAGAGAAGCTTATTTCTGGATGTGAGGTGTACCCTGCTTGAAAGCAATATCATAAGTGACTTTCTGTTTCATAACCTCTCAACTAATTCACAATATTGGATTGTCTTCCATATGCCTACTAAAATTTTGTGATGTTTTTTCATTTATAGGATGGAAATCCTTTTGATGCCACTGCAGGGTACCGTAATCTTACATATGAAGAGGTCTTGCAGGAGCTGGTGAAACATAAAGAGCAACTTAGGAAGAAAGACACCCATATCCGTGAACTTGAGGACTACATTGACAATCTTCTTGTACGAGTAATGGAGGAAACACCTAGTATTCTCAGAGTGCCATATGAACCTTCTCGAAGAGCTGGCAAATTTTCCAAAAGCTAAGGCAATAACGCTTCATGGTTCTTTTTATTGAATGTGTTAATGGAAGGACATTTTGCACTACACATTTTGATTTCTTAATTTTGTTCTATTGTCCACTCCTTTCCCATTCTGAGAGATTCAGGGTTTTGTCCTCCAAATGCTAGCAGGGACCGTCGAAACTAGTAGTCTGCTATGTTTATTAAAGAACTTTGAAAAAACAAATAGGAGATATAGTAGATGAATTTCTCACATTCTTTTTTGGAAATTACAGTTAGCTATATTTTACTTGCAGTACTGTAAATAATACACCTTGAAAATGTCCATTCAGTTGTTTTACATGATAACTTACTCCTAGCCCTGTTGCGGTTTGATACCATATGTCTACTTTTACTACTTATTGATACACTATTATGCAGAGTCACTCTTTTTAGTATTACAGCATTCCATCACGGGTGTCATGCTAAAGTCTGTATGGTACGTTTTGCCAGATGTGAATATGGATTGTTGCAATGTGATATTTCAATATAGTTAATTCTCAGCATTTATTAGAGAGAAGCAGTGGAAACAAAGAGGAAATGCCATATCCTGTACAGTACACTTTAAGAATGTTTTAAAATGTCATGTCAGTTCAACAATGGCATGTATTTCAATCAGTTATTTTCACACGTAAATTCTGGATTTTGTGAACAATGAACATTGAACTTTGAAATCAGTAAGTTAAAAGCTAATTACGATATGGGTTTTTGGTGTAAAGTTATTGCATGCCTTTTTATACATTAAAATAGTGTAAACAAAATGCTAACCAAGTCAGAAGTAGGACTGAAGAAAGTGGTGGATAAAGAGGTTAATACTTTTTTCACTCAAATCCTACAGCAGAAAAAAGAAGTTTAGGAAGAGAAATAAGAAGACTGACTTAGAGGTATGATTCTGAAGAACTAAAGTGACCCAATCTCAAGTTGGGTTTTTCATGTGATGCATCTTTCCTTTGATTTCCAAGGCTGCTAGGAAAAGGGTGTATTGCTTAGGCATGCCTCACAAAGACCTGAAACTAAAAAGAGGAGATCTGTATTCCTTTTCAACCATTTTGAAGGTCTGCTTTTAATAAGGATGATGGAAGAGGTATTTAAATAAGCATGCATCTAATCATTTATATTTGCATGTAACATGGTGTACAAAAGTATGTACTGTTTCACACATCAGCCAAATACAGTAATCAACTTCTAATGGGAAACAATGATGTAAGGAAAAAAAACTTTACTGTACTAATATCCACTAAATTATTTTATTTTAATTGCCTTGTAAGTCTTAAATGGGTTGTCTGTTACTGTGAAATTCTGAGGTGTATCAGAACCTATGCAGGAGAATATAATAGCATTGGATTTAAGAAGTTAAAATTCTTGGTTTTGAAAGAAAATTTTATGTGCATGGTGGCAGGATTGTTTGTTTTTTGTTTTCTCCATTTGTTCTTGTAAACTGCTTATTTTTCTTGCACTGGCATGTGGTGGGCTTTTTTGAGGAGGAAAAAAGCCTAAACTTCCAATTTTTGTTGTTGTTTTAAAGAATAAGACTTTTTTTTTTTCATGTTTAAGACTTCAAAAATGAATAAATCCACCTTGAATTGTTCTGATTCTGGACACTATGAGATAAACCATTGGAATCAGAGACCTCTTGACAATGTAACTATATTACAACAGCATTGCATTGTACTCCGAAGAAAATTATTTCTTTGTACAGTGTAAATAACTTTTCACTTCTTGACTTTATTTCTTGTTTTACTTTTCATTCTCCAAAATGACGTGGGACAGTACCTGGGATGGGAAAAAAGATTGATTGTGCCAGGTTCATAAAAAGTGTTAAGTATGAAAGTCCTGACCCTGTGTTGGGCTATATTAGCATGAACCATTATGCTTGGGCGGAGTGACTACAGTGAGACTCCTCCTGGTTGTAGTGTTCTGCGTTAGCAGATCATGTTTCAGGATTAAGGCCTGATTTACTAAGTAGTTGCTATTAAGACCACCCAAGGATTCATCAGGTATTGTACCTCATAAACTAATATGAATGTTCTTTTGTCTACTTAACTCTAAATGACTAAGTTTATTGTAATATATTCAAAGTGCCAAAGATAGCATATTAAGTTACAGTTCATTTATTGTTCAGTTAGTTTTTGCACTTGAAGGAGATTTTAATTTAGAAATTATACAAGGTTGTATGTCAATTGTTCAGTATTCCCACAAAGATTCTCAAACATTTTAGAGTAGTTTGTCTAAAGCTAATGACTTCTATATATACTGGGGAAATGTGCCATTGAATTTGAAGCTGAACTCCACATTAATTTCAAAAATCACTAGCGCTATGTGATCCTACGTTTGTAAGGTTTCTTCTCTCATCACTGTCTTATACATATCAATAGGAATTTCACAAGCAAACCAGTAGGAAAATATTCCCCAATGACTTTAAACTTCTCCAAGCCAACCTATAGTTATTGAAATGAAACATTACTGTATTTAGAACCTCTGAAATGACTTCTATTGGAATGTTAATGTGGAATATCAAAATGCATAATTGATTAAAAGTAGATCATTTGACATATTTGCATAGCAGAAATGATAAGCAGATTAAAGGTAGCAAAAAGATCAATTTTACTGCATTAGTGAAGAAATTTAGTGAAATTTTTAATGTGCTATCTAGTTCTTTATCTGATCTGTAACTGAATAAAAGCACCTTTTGTTTCTCCTAGTTTATCACTATGTCTTGAAAAAGACAAATGTAGCTTAGAAAAAGGTACAATTACTAAAGTATGCAGAATGAAGCATGTACAACTATAAAAATATTTGTACAGTGTTTGTGTAATTTAAGGTACAAGTTATTTTTGGTTTAATTTTGGAAAGATATTAAATGCACATGCTTTTCTTCTTTAAGTAGGTTTTTTAAAATGATTCACATTTTGTGGGGATTTTTACAGGCTATTTTTCAAGGACATCTTGACTGTAAAAGTATTTTATGGACCATGCAAAATTTTCAAATCAAAACACTTCATGCAGAATATTCCGTATGTGTATAAGACACAAGGAAATTTCTGTTGATTTTACTCTTAAGCATAACACTATAAATGCATCTTCTAACAGCTTCTGAATCTGTAATACCTTACCACACACAATCCATCTTTCAGTACTCTAAAATCTAAAGATGAAAACAGTGGCAATCCACACACTTTTATTGATCTTTTCTCTGAAAAATTAACATGAAGCTTCATCAGTATATGTACTGTACTTTGAAATATTCCTTTGAAACAGCTCTGGTACTAGCAATGTGTTTAACTACTTTATTGAATGAATATCAAGGCAATATTTTAGAGTTGTAAATAACCAATGAACTTCTTGTCATTCAATAAGTCTGTTTAATATTTATGTATTACTTTTTGCTGCTGTATTTTATGTTGAGCTTGGTTTTGCCACCTACCAATGAGTGTAGCATTATCCATAGATTATACATAACTCCATCTAGTGCTGTTGTCTGTAAATCAAGAATTAGTTGTAATTTTCCAACTATAAAAATGCCTTGTATTTGAAAGGGTTCTACAAATGGGGACCCAAACAGAACTGAGCTCATTAGTAACCAGCTTGCATTATTTTGCTGTAAGGATGTCCTTTCTTTAACTAGGTGCATCTTAAAAGAAACAGAACTGCTGTCTTAATATTTTTACTACTGCACTGGAGTTTTATTTACACCTATAGCTTTAAAAAAAAAAGTTGTCCTACACCAAATTTTTAAACTAAACTCATGCTTTGTTGCTGTTTGTGTATCCATAACTACGGTAGTTATGTTAGAGGTGTCAGTTGTGCATTTTAAAATGGTTATAGCCTCTTGATCCACTTGCTCTCTTTTGAGGTAAATGGTGAAGGGTTATAGCACTGCTGTGTTCCTGATATTAGATTTAAGGGTTTATCAGTATTTTCATTCTAAACCCCTGTTTTCAGGGATTTATAACTTCTAAATCTAGATATAGTCGCTGGAAGTGTTTAATATGCAATAGGTGGCACTTTAATCTGTTTATGAAGGTTGGGAGATTTATTTCTGTTGAGAAAGGCAAAGACAGCATTTATTTTATCTTTCATAATTTGTATGTTGAAAAATCCACTCTATTTGCTGTTAAGTGTATTACAAATGATACAGTCACTCTTATTCTTCTTAGAAGCTTCCAGCTGGCCTGTATTATGTTAGGTACAATAAAATGCTGAAGATCCAAGTTACATAGGAGGTCTGTAAAAGATGTGAGCATTACTTAAAACAAAAGGGTTGATTTGTCTCGTGCAATGAATGGTAGCTTGTGTACATTTTTAAAGTTAGAGATTCACAACTATATGCACCCGTGACAACTGTATACATACGATATTGCATGAAACGTTTTTGTTATATTATATGCACAAGGTGTTGAACTCTCTTCAGTTGATTAAAATACGTCATTTTAATATTTGAATTCATTTTCATTCAGTATTGCATGCGTAACGCTAATAAAACACAGCGCACTACAGCAAATGTCTTGTAGTTTAATATGTGTGTGTCTAATGTGTGTGTGCAAAATTATGCAAGATTTCAGCATTCTAATCAAATGTGTAGTTTCAGGACATAGTGACCATGCTTTTGAGAATTACAAAGAGTGTATTTTCTCAAGGACAGTTGTAAATGTATTTCATAGCTGCTTGGAAGCTTCCTCTTAGAATACCCTCTTGAGAACATAATTGTTGAAAGAGACCTGACTTGTTCCATTGTGCTGTGTGTGTGTGTGTGTGTGTGTGTGTGTGTGTCTTTTAATATAGAGGAAACAGTCACCAAACCCCATCCCCTTCTGACTTCATACAGCAAAAACATCACATATAGTAATCGCAAAAGGAAAAGGAGTACTTGTGGCACCTTAGAGACTAACAAATTTGCTTGAGCATAAGCTTTCATGAGCTACTGTAGCTCATGAAAGCTTATGCTCAAGCAAATTTGTTAGTCTCTAAGGTGCCACAAGTACTCCTTTTCTTTTTGCGAATACAGACTAACATGGCTGCTACTCTGAAACCTGACATATAGTAATGAGGGCTTTGATACTAATGTCTGGGGTGGCACTTACCATGTTGACAATCATCCATGGAAGATAATGATAGGAGATATATAATCCACATCACTTTCCCTCTCTAACAATTTCAAAACAGAATCCATTCAGAGAGAGATTACAACTAGGGCGCTCCAAAGAAGTCATATTTTCCACAATCCCATCAATAAGGATGATGTTTTCACCTGTTTTTATCAATATAAAGGACCTCATTCAGTGGCAGATGTAGCCTTCTGATTCAATGGGTACACCAGGCCTTAGCACAGGGCCTGCTTTACTCTGCACAGCCACCCTGGGGACGGTCCCAGTTACACAAGTCAGTAAGAGAGACCCCACCTGATATGTTCTGGGGAACGCAGTTCTGCTCAGCATCGAGATCCGGCTGCTCAGAGTGGGGGAAGGCCCTGCCCTTAGCCAGCATCCTGGCCACGTGTATCTGCTTCCTGGACTTTTGGGGGCATCTCCCAAGCCCCACCTCCCAAATTCCCTCTGGGAGATTTTACTCTTCGGTATCCAAAGCAGCATATGACTGATAACATCGCACAGTGGGATGAGATGGGTGGGAGTAGAGCCACCGTGACACAGGGCCTGGGCTTCATGATTTCTGTGGGTGCAATTGAACCCATGAATCCATACTAAAGCCACCCAGTCTAATTCTTGTTCTGCCCCTCTACTTCCTTGGGGCAACCTGAGGGTGGAGCCTAACCCAGGACAATAGTAATTTCACCTGATGTTGGGGAGGAGTTGAGAGCAACGGTCCTCAAGGTGGAGAATTTATTCCGATACATGCACAGCTGTTTGGATTTTGACTTTCTTGCAGTGGGTGGACTTGTCTCTTGAATAGGTCAGTCCCTACATGTTGCCTTCTGGAGCTTATGCCACCAGAAAGTTACTGATTTTTAGTTCTCAATACGGTCTTGAGAATGAGGTTCACAAGTGCTGCTGTGTTTTGAGGCATCTATGCCAAGTGTTGGTAATGGAAAATTTTAGTCAATTTACTGTAGATTTCCCCCCACTTTTCTGCAACTTTTCCTTGGCTCTAGCTTTCCCTTCGCCCTAGCTACTTGCCCTCCTCAGGAGCTTTGCAACTCTCCTCACTGAATAGGGGGCTAAAAGGTCTGTCCTTTCCAGCTGAAGAAAATAAAAATGGTCTTTTAAAGCACTGCACTGCAGATATGGGTTCAATCCCCAGCTATGCCACAGATGTTCTAGACCTTAATCTCTCTAAACCTGTAAAATGAAGATATGTCCCCACATCCCAGGACTGTTGTGAAGATAAAATCAGTGTTTGTTATGTGCTCAAAAACTGTGGTTATAGGGGCAATATAAATTCTTAGATATAGTTCTGGATAGATTCTATAGCTTTCAGATTCTCTATATTAGATTTGGTTGTAATCTTTTTATTCCCCCCCCCCCCCGCCCTCCAAAACCCTCAATGAAAGTTGAATTACAGATTTAAAAAAAAACCAACATAAATTGAGAGGGCTACTAAAATCCTTAGATATAATCTACAAGGGACAGGAAGGGGGCAGTACCTCTCCAACTATGTAAACCAAAATTGGTTGATTGCAGTGCTCATTAGAACAAAGCTCAAGATCTCATTTCTGTATTTTAATAACAGACCAAACTGTATACTATTTTTATTTAATTATTGTTGCTAGCTTGGTCCGCAGCTTATTTAGGACATGTTGCCCTTTTTTGTAATTTTGGGTTCTTCAGTAAGACTATAAATAATGACCAAAAAAGCCTATCATTGGCTCTGCACTAGTACATTAAATGTTGGAATTATTCTATAATGAGCATCATTTTATGAGAGGTAAGAGTAAGAATAACTATTAAGGAAATCTGCCTAGTCCTGGTGCCCATACAGTGCTGTCAGCTTAAAATGGTGCTGTTTCTCCAAGGCAGGCTCTTAAGGTGTTATCATGCAAAATAAAATGCAACTTGAGAAGTGGGGGACTTCAGGACATTGTGTCTGCAATAGCTAAATAAAGGTCAGCACACAGAATCAGCATGGGCTGGTTGGCATCTGGAATTTGCAATATTTATATAGTGGTTTTTTTGTACAGCATTTAGACATACTCTGAGTGCGTTTTATAAAACGATTGGCTTATACTCAGAAGCACAATCTGTGACTAAGTTCTGATGTGCTTTTAGTTTAAAAATAATCATTTTTAAAAGGTATTGATAGCACTCATGCTTATATCCCAAACATTTTAAAATGGAACCAATTAAGGGAAAGAGAACCATTTCCTATGATTGTCTTCTCTTTTCACCATGCATCTTGTCTTTGAGCTAATAAAATATTGAATATAACAAAGCAAATTGATGAAGGGAGAAGAATTGTCTTTAGGCTATACATTGGGGCATCTGATCCAAATACCACTAATATCCCATTGAACCAATTGCTAGACATGTGCCAGATTCTTTCTTCAAGTGAACTGAATGTGGCATCCTTTATTAGCAGGATCAGCATCACACTGAAAATGGGAGAAATGAAATAATGCAGCAGGAGTAGCTAACACTGGGAAGTTTAGCAGATGGATTAGTTAGTAGGGTGTTACCTATAAGGCAGATGTCAGGCAAAAGTGAAGAGCTTCAACCAGCTGTCACCTCCACCTGGACACTTTTATAATCTTTAGGGATTAAACTAACCAGTTTCACTGGGAAGTTAGAAAGTGCCTCAAGAGATCTGGTGTTGGATTCATCACGTGGCAGACCAGATTGCCTCTATTGTTGCCCCATATAGGTGTCTGTCACAAGGTGTCAATGACTATAACAAGGAAAATGCGGAAATGTGTCACGTCACCTCCTTCTGTAAATGATTCATGCTTAGGTGATGAGGGCTTCCTTCTCAGATATCTGCTGCTTACATTAAGAATTCCTTGAAAATTGACTCCCCTGGATCCCTTTAGAGGGTCCATCAAAGTGACTAGTTTTAAAATTAATGAATTTTAAGTCATTTGTAAAAGACTCGTACAATGGCATAAGGAAGATGTCTTCTTATTGCACCAGTTATGTCGATATACTGATTCCAGAACACAGTCAGAAACCACATAATAACCTATTTTAATAACAGCTGTTGACTGTTCAGTTATCAGTATGTTCTATTGTCCCTTTATTATAAAGTTTGTAATTATAAAGGATTGTGCATTTAACTAACTTGCAAATAGTGAACAATTATATGGCTTAAATATATTGATATTTTATAATCATAATTTACTTAATAAATATGTTAATGAACATGAACCTGATCTTCCCAAGTAGGGTTTTTTATATATTTGTTTTAGACCTGAATTATGGACTCAATGATTCCATTTGTCTAGGCTGTGAGTAATCACAATCATTCTGAAATAGTTTCATACATGATTCCATTCTAGATTTAGAAATTTCATTTAATCTTTTTTAATAGCTTTCACATTCCCTTATAAAAATATGCTACAATATTCTACAGTAATGGTCTAAAACACCACAACTTACAATACATCAATAATTATTGTAGTGTTGGGCAGTATTGTAGAATTATTTGGGCTTTTTTAAATAAGTGTTTGCAGCAATATACATATGCTTTATATATAGAAAGAATAACATTAGAAAGATTAAATTGGTATCTGGGCAAATTCTGGTATAACTTTTATTTTGCATGTATAAATTAAAAATGATCTTTTTAAAAATAAACTTACACCTATATGTTTCTGTTAATCTTCGTGTTAAACTAATGTAGCTAAAGTTCTGTGTAGAGTCTCAAGGACTAGTTCATCAAATAGGCTTGCCTCAAATTCACTGTCCTGTTTTTTGAATGTAGAGAAATAGAAAGAATCTGATTACAGCAGATGCTAAATGTTGCTCTTAAAGGATCAAGGAAAAAGGTGGGTGACACATTTTATGAGATATGGTCTAATCTTGTTTCTTGTTAGGACATACTGAGCGTGAAGAAAAGGGGCTAACGTGTTTCCAGGATTGTGCACTTACAATTAATTGTAGGACTACTGCCTGTCTGTCTTTTGTTAGATTTATATAAGCCTTCTAAAACATGAACTTATTTTTTTAAAGAATGGATTATGATTGGCTAAACCAGTCACATGACAGTTGCAGTTTGGGACTCCTTTTCAGGTGACCTCATCATAACTCAACATAAAATCCACTGGAATAATGTGCACTTTAAATTGAGATGCCAAATGAAGGAACCCAGCAACAAGAGTGAGGAAGAAGAGAAATAAGTCTAATAAAAATAAAAAACTGATGTTGTTTGATCTGAATGGTAAATACTGCTGAGTATTTTCACTGGTATTTTCATTTTAACCTTAAAGAATAATCACTTTAGTATAGAAACGCAGAGACATAACTGTCCTAGTGCATAAGATTTGTTGG